ATTAATATACATAATCTGCACCCCCAAGATGTTTCCACCGTGAAGCCAGCAAATCCTACGGTTCCCCTCACTCGCAACACCTCTGACGTGGTGCAGACCCCCTGCCCCCACCCCCGACACTCTCCCCGTACCTACAAACCCTTTGTCGTCCCTTCTCCCAAAGTTGAGGACTAATGTGACCAACGAGTGGTTCAATTTGTGAACATCTTTAGGTATTTTCTCTGTCACAAAAAAAGTGGTTTGATTTGTTATTGCTTATGTTTATGCTTTGCCATCTATGGGTGTGTTTTTGTAAAATATTTGGGTTCTATTTTTTTGGTTGTTGATTTTGTTTATCACTGAAGAAGGGGGACGATGATTGTAGGTAGGTCTTCGAAGGGGGTGAATTTAATATTTTCATTTTGCATCATAGACTAGTGCAAAGGTTGGAGTTGAGTTTAAGTTTTGCCGAAGAAGGGGTTAGTGTTAGGGTTGGGTTCTGCCAAAGAGGAGGGTTGTCCCGGCGGGGGCGGTGGGGGCAGGGACGGATCCAAAAATTGTATCAAAGGGTAGCACAATTTAACTATAAAAAATGAATATACATTTTTTTTTCCAAACAATGGCACAATTTGACTAAGAAAATGAGACTAGCATGATTCAAACTCGGATTCGAGATGGAAGAAAAACCTTACAAACCAACTCTACTAAATAAAACTTGTTTTTGTTGTATGTTCAAAATATATACGGTTATACACAACAAATTAATACAGTAAAACTTTTCATGACCCTAACTTTTTTACACTACGATGGATGAACAATATGATAACATGGGGCACTACATGCTCTAAATTGGGTCTGTTGCTGGCCTTGATGGGGGTGGTCGGCGAAGAAGGGGGTTGGGGTGACAGAGAGGGAAGGGAAGCAAGCCTCTCTTTTATATGGAAAATAAAAAGAAAAATTAATTATATTAAATACTTAAAAAGTTAAAAATTAAGAAAATGACTAAAAAAACACTTGAATTAGAGGACATTTTAAACAGAAGTTAGTCAAATAGATCAAAAGTTTAACAAGATGACAACTACAATGATTAAAAGTGTAATAAAATGACAACCATAAAAACAAAAAAATATAATTATTTTAAAATAGAAAGGGATATTTGATAGTTGTTGAAACTACCGGGCAATATTAGGGGTGTTCAAAAAAACCGTTGGACCGTTCAAACCGGCCGAACCAAGTCAAACCGGACCGTTTTTGGCGGTTTGAGAGGTCTAGCGGTCCGGTTTGGTTTGGAAAATAGCAAAACCGGACGGTCTGGTTCGGTCTGCAGTTTGGAACCTTTTTTGGGCGGTTTGGACCAAATCGACCGTCAAATGCATATATTTATTTATTTATCTATTTTAATATTAGGAAGCCCAACTTTTTTAACTTATTGGCTATGACCCAAATATATTCCTAAGCCTAACATCCAACATAATCAAAATCGACGACTAAAACCATTAAACCATTGAACATATCGACACATTTGTTACTAACGGTCTCCAAAATTTGAAACCTCTCAAGAAATCCATCAATCTATTGATCTTTCTAATCCATGGTTAGATTTCGGCGCATATCATCAAGATATCAACCAAGTGATTCAACTAACTTAGATTTGACTTCTGTTTTGTTTGATCAAGAACTCAAGACTCAAGAATTAAACTATTAAAAGTTGTGAAATCGTGGATTTTGTTACTCAATACTCGTAGTAGAGTTGTAACTTTGTTAATTTGTTTGTTTTCTAATATGTTATATATTTATTTGTCTGTACTTTGGATTGCTTCGACTTTGTACTCAAAAACTTTTTAATTATTACATTTATTTGTTTAGATATTTTGTTTTGTTAAAATGGAGATTTAATTTGAAATTCTAAATTATATATGTTTTTAAGTTTAATATTTAAAGTCTATTAAAGGCCCAAACCACCTAAACCGGTCAGACCAAACCGTCTTTTCGTGGTTTAGTTTGACCGGTCTGGACACTTGATGTCAAACCGCTCGGTTTGAAAATTTTATAAACCGCTATTATGGTTTGATTTATGATTTGAGGGGTTAAACCGTCCAAACCGGACCGCGAACACCCCTAACCATAATTCATTCATAAATTACAAATTTATTTTCCCCATAAAGAATCTATACAAATTTGTCGCAATTGCGACGCCTCTTTGGGTTTTGGTTTGAAAAGAACCCGACGACGGCTGGCCCGTCTCGAGACCTGAGCATATTTACTCTTTGCTCCCTCTGTCTTCTCAATAGTTTCAACTTTGCCCCCTGACATGTGTGTTTCGTTCAAACCGAATTTTATGTAATAAACAAATATCATAGGGAAAACCACATAATAAAATCATTATTCCATTTACTGTTTGTCGGTATTTTTGTTGTATGTCCTGTATATATGTTTAAAAATAAAGAAACTAATAAAATCTGATATTTAGTAATATATATATATATATAGTTTGGTTATTATACAATCTTTTATATTTGTACAACCAATACAACTCAATCTCAACCGTCTATTTCATTTGATTAATATGTGATTTCATAGAAGTTTTGATTGTTTCATAATATAAAGTATTGATCGTAATTAATGAACCATATTCATTTTTCATAAATATTCAAATCATAATAAATGAAATCTCATCATTTCCATAAATATCACAATTTATTGGGTTGTATAAATGCGCCGAGTTGTATTTGAAACAAATTCTCTCTCTCTCTCTCTCTCTCTCTCTCTATATATATATATGGAGGTTCAAACGAGAACATTTCTATTTCACGAGAACACCCTTATTACATGTGATAATACGCGTGAGGGGACCTTGTGATGTACGGACGACGTGTTCTACGACTTAGGCTGTGACAAAAGTTGTATGCGTCTATGAGTTAGCATCACATGTGATGATATTGATGGATTATAGTATTATATCAACAACACCCTTATCACATGTGATAATACTTGTGAGGGGGCTTAGTGGTGTAAGGGGGACTTGGCCCGCAACCAATATCGCATCGAAAATCGCTCGCGTCTTGATGGATTATAGTATTATATCAACAACACCCTTATCTTTGACTGTCTATAGTAAAAGAATGTTTTCACATTCTCATAAAATGAAGACGATCTCGTTTGAACTCTTCCCTATATAACAAAACCCAATTTAGAAAATACATCCACCCTCAATCGAGCCTCCAATGTTCTCCTCAACATAACCCTCCTCTTCACCCCTCGATCATGACAATGCCTACCTTCCTAATTAGTTTCGCAATCTGTATCTTACATATGTGTCTAAAATCTTCACTCTCTCATTTTTTATCTGTAATAAGTGCAACCCTCCATCTACACGAAAAAGTATTGTTCGGAATATTGTCCACATGGTTCAACGTAGGCCCACCTGAACATATACATTTATGTAACTTCCAACACTTTAATGAGTATTCCTACTACGCAACATTTAGACTCATACCACACAACCAGTTCGATCACCAATCTATTAAATTTTCCTTATTTGTTTTGCGAAACGTTCTTGTTTCCAAATTTCTGGTGATAGCTTTCCATTTTAACCTTTACATCATCCTTTCCCTCCCTCTTTAAGGCATGCTTCTGTGTGCATAAACCTCTTATAATTTGTCTTTTTACAACTCGAAAAGAATCTTGAATTAAACAAAATTCACTTGTTTATACTATATTATAAAACATTTGACAAAAATTCTTAAAAATCATTTTTTATGTATGAATTATTGTTTATTGATGCATATTACTTAAAATTGAAGATTACAAGTAAATTGTGCGTAAGTACAACTTGTTAAAGCTTCATGTTTGAATTCGTGTAACTAACTGCAGATAAACATAATCAGATCGAGAATAAATATCTTATTTTAAATATACAAAATCTAAAATATGATTGGGATAATTATTGACCTCTAACAAGATACTTAATTATTATTTTTATAAAAAATTATATCATTAAACCAAAAATAAAAATGAATCGAAGAAATACAAAAAAAAAAAAAAAAGACATTTTAAATAGTTAGTTTGGTATTAGTATAAATATTATTTTTTCAATTTTATATGATATCTTCATATTAAAAAATAAAAACATCATCTCTTTCTCAAAACCACATAAAAACGTATTATAACATCGACTGAGACAAAAATAAAACAAAACACTAAAATCGAAATGTATCTCGTTGTATTGTACAACCACCCTTTTAGTATTAAACAAAAAGTATAGTGGGCAAAAGATACCACTTACAAATTTAGTGCATCTCCAATAAATTCTCTATAAATGGAGAATCAAAAGTCAAAATTAAAAAAAAAATTACATTAATCTTCACCAGTTTCTCCATTTTGGATATCACAATATTAATATGTTATTAAAATATCCAATACAACCCATAATTTATTATTTTTCTCTCTAAACATCCAATTTCAAGGATTCTCATTGATAAAAATAATACAAAAACCATCTCTCTTTTTTAAACAATCACTTTTGAAGATATCTCCAAATTTGAAGGATTTCTTCATATTTTTCAACTTTCTCGATTTTAGAGAATCTGTTGAAACAAAAATCTTTGAAATCTCGATTTTGGAGAATCCGTTGGAGACGCTCTTGTACAAAAGCTAAAATATCAGGGACCAAATATTAGAAAATAAAATCAATCGGATAAGCTTTGCAAATTAGACAAGAGTTAAAGGTAGGATTTTGTGATTCTTGTTTTGTAGCAAAACACTTTGAGAAAGGAGTGAGGCCCTTGGAATCGAGAATCTTGTTCTTTGCCCTTGCCCTTGCCCTTGCCCTTGCGCATTATTTACACCCCTGAACCTCTATATATTTATTCTCTAAATTGCGCTTCAATATTTTAGAAGAATATTGAGGTCAAAAGAGTAGTCAGTATTAACGAGAGAGGTTCCTCCTGCTGGGTGCAGTAATAAGCAATAAGCACCCCCAATACAAACCCCTTTGTTTTCTTGGGAGTACCTCCCTTTGCTCTCTCTGCTCAAAAAACCCACAAAAGGACTATCTTTTTATTCAAGGGTTCTTCAAGATTCGATAAAAAGGTGAGTATTTTTTTCTTGGTTGGATAATGTTTGTGTATTTTGAACCAGAATCCAAACATGGGTTCGTTTCTATTTTTGTTGCTGTTTCTTGATGATGATCAATGTTGAGGTTCTTTAGACATATTTGTTTAATGGGTGAGGTCGGTTTTACCTTTTCTTTAGATTCTTTATATGGGGTTTGGCAAATTTTCTTGATCATGTTTCTTTATGTGTTTTTGTTGAGTGGTTTTGCGTGTTGGAAATCATAATAAGGGGTTTTGGCAATGTGGCAAGAATTTGATGGGAATTTGTAGTGGTGAATGATGGTTGATTGATGCATGAATATTGGGATAACAAGTTGGGAATCTTAGTTCTGTTTATCCAATTGATGATACATTCTTCAAGATATCTTTAATGAGATTGTTTTTGGCATAAGGAATTTCATTAATAAAGGATCATCTTTGATTATATGCCTGTGTTAGATTCTTAGTTTTGAGTGATTAGATTAACAGGTGATCATTTCCATCTTTATTAGTTTTCTAGGGTTTAACCTGTTTTTTGTCATTGTTGATGATGGTGATGATCAATGGTGGGTTTTCATTAGACATGTTTGTTATAGTTTTATGTTGATTTTGTTATTGGGGTTTGAAAATTTTGTCTGGATAATGTGATTTTGGAGGATTTTCTGATCAATCAGAATGAGGGGTTTTTAGCTTCATTGCTGAATAGTCAATGGGAATTATTGGTTCTTAATTTTGACTTCAATTATTCTGACAGGGAGGTCAACAAGCAGCAAATTAAGTTTGATGGCTAATGAGGAAGTGTATGTAGATCAACAAGTGCCATCTGGTGTTCTTACAGGAATAAGATTCAAAGTTCTATCGGAGGAAGATGCGGTGAGTGGATCGTTACTTTTCTCGTTGGTTTTTAACAACTTCAGTCCCAAAATTTAGACTTAGGGGTTGTTTTGTTGGTTTTCTATCAAGTCCTGTATGGAAAAAGTTGTCTATGTAGATTAATCTGTCTTTATAAATGGGGAAGGTTTTTGTTTGGAAGGTTTTTTGGTAGATGGAAGGGAGGGTGTTCTTTAGTTGGGAGGGGGAGGTTTGGAATTTTTTGCCTTTTTGCATAAAGCTCCCCCCCTAAAAGCTTATTGAATAAGCCACTTTCTATATCATTAAGCCACTACCTAACAGTCATGTATGACTAACCGAATAAGATGTGAGTCATATTAAGCTTATTAAGTTGCTAACAAGCATGCCCCAAGTCCTGTATGGATAAAACTGTCTGTGTGGATTAATCTATTCGTATAGATTGGAAATGTTTTTGTTTGGAGAGTTTTTCATAGATGGAAGTAGCGTGTTTTTTTTAATTGGGAGGGGTAGGTTTGGAAAAAATCTGGCTATTTGCGCAAAACTCTCCCCTAGAAGCTTACTGAATAAGCCATTTTCTATATCATTAAGCCACTACCAAACAGTCATGTATAGCTAACCATATCAGCTGTGGGTCCCATTAAGCTCATTAAGCTACTAACAACCAAGCCCTTAATATCCAAACCTAATAGAATGATTTATGATTTTGTATCAGGAGAAGGCATCTGTGAAGGAAATCGTAGTAGCAAATGAAGTAACAGACCCCGCGTTGGGATTTCCGAATCCTGCATCACAGTGCCATACATGTGGTGCCAAAGATTACAGAACATGTGAAGGTCTGAAAGGAGAGGAATGATTCAGTTCATTTTTCTTGTATTCACAACGATTTTAATTCTCTCTTTAATCTTCTGTCTTGCAGGTCATCTAGGCTTAATAAAATTTCCATTCACAATACTTCATCCATACTTCTTACCTGAAGTGGCACAAATTCTGAATAAAATCTGTCCCGGATGTAAAAATCTTAAAAAAGATAAGGGCAAGGTCAGGTATTACATCCCTTGTGTTGCATATTAATTTGATGGTACAAAAGTCGATGTTATCTTGCACAATTTTTGTTTGCAAGCTGGGGTTAAAAAGTGGATTATGGTATCTTAACACAATAACAACTTATATAACTTCATTTTCATTTGTTTCCGTGTTTTCCGGTCATTTTCTAGGTGTTTATATGCTTCCCTTCATTATTTTTTTGAATTTTTGTTTTTGTTCTTCACGATCTGCAGAAAACTGAAATGGCATCCCCAATTCAAATCCTGAAAACCTGCAAATATTGTGATGTAAGTATCTTCTTATTGTTGTGTCGTTGTCTCTTTAGGCTACGGAAATTTGTGAAAAGGTGTTTCCTTTTTCTTCCCATTTAACAGAAAAGCTACAAAGATGTTTATCCACCAATGAAGTTTAAAGTTTCAACGAAAGATGTATTTGGAAAGACTGCAATAATTGCGGAAACAAGAAGTTCAGGGAGGTTGAATTCAGATAAAAGCTTACCTCCCGGTTATTGGGATTTTGTTCCCAATGATCCTCAACAAGAAGAAGCATTTTCAACATTTAACCGAAGAGTTCTTACACATGCTCAGGTAGCATTTTGCCGAAATCTTTTTAACCTTTTATATATCTTTTATTTCATTGCCTCCGCCCCGAAATCAAATCTTTTTTAGAATGTCAAGAGGTTATTGATGTGCTAATCACTCGTGTTGATTCCTAATGGTATCTTTAGGTGTACGAAATATTGAAAGATGTTGATCCAAGCTTTCTTAAAGGATCTTTAGGGAAAAAGAACAAGATTTTTCTCCAAAGTTTCCCTTTAACGCCCAATTGTCATCGTGTAGCTGAGTTTGGACAAAATTTGACCTTTGTAAGTATCTTCTTATCCACATTATGTTGTTTTAATTTCATAAATTACTTCCAAATATAAAAAATGGTCTGATTTCAGGATGAACGCACACGGGCGTACAGAAAAATGATTGGTTTTCGTGGTACCGCAAATGAATTGAGTTCATGTGTAATTGATTGCATAAAACTTTCAAAGGTTAGCAAACATCAGAATCTTTAAAATACCCAATTGTCGTTTGGATTCCAGAATTTGAATTCTTGATAACACCACAGATACGAGCAGAGAAGCCTTCAATTCATAATTCTAATGCAGACAACGATAATCCGTCCAAGATGCATGGACTGAAATACATGAAAGAAGTTAGTCTTGGAAAAAGAACCGATTTTTGTTTCAGAATGGTATGTGTTGGTGATCCATACATAAAGCTAGATGAAATTGGCGTGCCCCATGATATAGCGGAGACCATGCTTGTTTCTGAGCAACTGAATTCTTTAAATTGGGAAAAAATAAATGCATCTTGTGGTTTAAGGATCCTTCAACGGGGAGAAACTTTTATTCGGCGAAGGGGCGGTTTAGTTCCCGTTAGATATGGAGATAATTTGCGGATAGGAGATACTGTATATCGACCTCTTAATGATGGGGATATTGTTTTGATAAACAGACCTCCATCTATTCATTCCCACTCACTCATTGCACTACGGGTCAAAGTTCTTCCGGTCAACTGCGTTCTTTCGATCAACCCTCTTATTTGTTCGCCTTTACGAGGTGATTTTGATGGGGATAGTCTTCATGGTTACATTCCTCAATCATTAGAATGTCGGGTTGAGCTGCGAGAGCTTGTTACATTAGAAAACCAGTTGGTCGATAAGCAGAGTGGCGAGAATCTGTTATCATTAAGTCATGATAGTCTCACTGCTGCCCATTTGATGTTAGAAGACGGGGTTTTTTTCAATCGTCCTCAATTGCAACAGCTCCAAATGTTTTGTCGTCATCAGCAGTTGGAACTGCCGGCTATCATGAAAAAGTCGAAGGATTCACCGTTGGAACTCCCAGCTGACATGTCAAATTCTTGTTTTTGGACTGGGAGGCAGTTGTTTAGCCTCTTAATGGCTAAAGATTTTGATCTTAGTGTGGCGGGGGCTCAGATAAAGCGAGGAGAATTTGTCGGTTTGTTAAATCCGTCTTCGTGCCTGCAAGCGGCTGATGAGAACTTATATAATTATCTCATCAAAAACTTTCGAGGTGAAGAGGTTCTTGAATTCCTTCATTCAGCTCAAGAATTGCTTATTGAATGGCTGTCAATGAGGGGATTTAGTGTCTCGTTGTTGGATCTTTACCTATCTTCCGATGCTCAAAATAATATGAATGATGAAGTATTTTACGGGTTACGTGAAGCAGAACGGCAAGCTCACGGGCAGCTGTTAATGGTGGATGATCATCAAGATTTTCTTAGCGGAAAGTTGACGGAAAACGAAGGTTACAGTGAACTGGAATCTGAGAAACTGTGTCACGATCAGCAAACCTCCGCGGCACTAAGTCGAGCATCAGCTGCCGCTTTCAAGGAAGTGTTCCGTGATCTTCAAAATCTTATTTACAACTATGCCACAAAAGATAATTCGTTTCTTTCGATGTTGAAGGCAGGGAGTAAGGGAAACATGCTGAAGTTTGTTCAGCACAGTATGTGCTTGGGTTATCAGCATTCATTAGTCCCGCTCTCCTTCCACTTCCCTCGTCAATTTTCTTGCGTTTCATGGAACAATCATAAGAGGGCAGAATTGTCATTTCCTTTGGGTGTAGATAGATATGTTCCTTATGGGGTCATAAAGAGCTCCTTTTTGGCTGGTCTTAATCCCCTCGAGTTCTTTGTTCATTCTGTGACGAATAGGGATGCTTCATTCGGTGGACATGCCGATATCTCTGGGACTTTGTTTCGAAAACTCATGTTTTTCATGCGAGATATGTACGTCGGATATGATGGGACCGTGAGAAATTGTTACGGAAATCAGCTTGTTCAGTTTTCGTACAATTCCAAGAATGCCCCAGGTCAAAGTAAGTCGCTTTTGAATAACGCGGAGTGTGGGGAGCCAGTTGGTTCGTTGGCTGCATGTGCCATCTCCGAAGCTGCATACGGTGCTTTGGATCAGCCAATCAGTGCACTTGAGAACTCGCCTCTGCTAAACTTGAAGGTAACAGATTCTAATTTCCAAATGTCTAAAATACCTTCAAGAATGAGTCTCATAGAGCCAAGCTAATGTAATCAACTTTGTACGACAAAAGTGGGCAAATACGTAATTTTAGATTAAAAACTTTGTAAAAGTGGAAATGTGGAACTAACGTGTGTTTAATAAGCATTCTTGTTTGATGAATATAATGGAATTGTCGTTTAATTGTACAGAAAGTGCTTGAATGTGGTGTTAGAAAACTCAGTGGTAACAAAACCGCATCACTTTTCTTGTCACAAAAACTTAAAAGATGGACAAATGGATTCGAATACGGAGCAATAGATGTCAAGAATCATTTGGAGAAGCTATTGTTTCAGGATGTTGTTTCTCTCATCACGGTATTGTAAGTTCTTTTTCCCTTTGACTTGTTGGATTTTCCATTCTTTTCGGCAAGATTCTTGACTATATTCGTTATGTTGACTAGCTATTCCCCACAAACCGGCAAACGGTCTCGTTTCAGTCCCTGGATTTGCTATTTCCGTATAAGCAAGGTAATTCGAGAAATTTACATGTTTATCCCTCTGTCAATACCCAAATAAAAAAATAGGCCAAGCAAGACTGGACTATTCAAGAATGTTAAAAAGATATATACCAAAATCCAAGTTCTGGTTTTAGCTTGGTTGGTTTTCCATTAAAAGCTGTATGGATAAAGTTGTCTGCGCAGATTTTACTGTCGGTATAGATTGAGAAGGTCTTTGTTTGGGAGGGTTTCTTCATAATAGATGAAATGAGTGTGCTTTTAATTGGGAGGGGCAGGTTTGGAAAAAAAAAACTTGGCTTTCTTCCTAAAGCTCCCCCTAGAAGCTTATTGAATAAGCCACTTTCTATATCATTAAGCCACTACCAAAGAGTCGTGTATAGCTGACCGAATAAGCTGTGATTCTCATTAAGCTGCTAACAAACAGGCCCTTAGTAAGAGGTTGTTTGGTTGGTTTTCCATTAAATCTTGTATTCATAAAATTGTCTGTGTGGATTAATCTGTCTGTATAGATTGAGAAGGTATTTGTTTGGGAGGGTTTTTCGTAGATGGAAGGAATGTTCTTTAATTGGGAGGGGCAGGTTTGGAGTAAAGATGCAGAACTAGGGAGATCCTTGAGGATGGTCCTAAAGGGTCTTTTAGTCATTTTGTTTCAAAAAACTTCCCCGTTAAGCGAGCATAATGTCACATATAGCTTGTTACCATTCTATGAGTTTTTTTTTTTTTTAATGAAGTTTCTTTTTCTTTTCCATCCTCTTTAACTGCAGGAAGCTGCTAGCAGGAAGCAACTAAAAGTGCAGTCCATTATCAATGCTTTGAAGTGCAAATGCTCAGACTCGACCAGTTTAAAGAAACTAAAACTGAATTTACCGAAATTAGAGATAGCTTCCAAGTATGATTTTTGCTATCTTGATGCGTTAGTTTTGCTTCAACGATCGTTTATTGCTCTCCATTTTAGAGAAAAAGTTACAAACTTTATGATTATTTCAGGAATTGCCCTGAAGATGATGCAAAGAATGAGCACGTTTTTATCACTGCTCAAATAGTTGACGGTTCAAACGCCTCACTGAATCTCCTCCAAGATGTGGTGGTGCCATTCCTTCTAGAAACTGTTATAAAAGGTTTTATTATAAACTTCCAGTATCCATTAACTAATGTTATAACTTTTTAGATTTTCAGTTCTTTGATTCTCGTTAAGAAGGAAAGATTACTTATCCTCTAGAGGTTCATATAAAGATGAAAACTTTTTGATAATAAAAGATAACTTATTTAGGATCTTCGAATGTCAAGAAAGTGGATATCCTGTGGCAAGATTGTCCAAAAACGTCAAAATCTGGTAAAGAATCTTCGGGTGAGCTTTACTTGCGTGTTTTCATGTCTGAAAACTGCGATCGAAGGAATTTCTGGAGGTTTCTTATGGATGATTGCATCCAAATAATGGATATGATTGATTGGGAAAGAAGCCATCCCGATGACATCCAGGATGTGATTATAGCTCAAGGAATAGATGCAGCAAGAAACCATTTTCTTTCTGTATGTTTCCCGCTATTCTTTTATTTTTCACAAAAAATCCGTTTCTCTTGAGTTGTAACTTGACCAATAACTGTTCATTTTAACGCAGACAATGAAATCGGCAATATCGGATACTGGGAAAAACATACTTCCAGAACATCTGGCGCTTGCTGCAGACTGTTTATCAGCTACTGGTGAATTTGTTCCAATAAATGCCAAAGGGCTATCGTTGCAGAGAAAACAAGTGTCTATTTCTGCGCCATTTACTCAAGCGTGCTTTTCCGTGAGTTTTTGGTAGCATTAGGAGATGGAGTTTTCGTGAATTTAACGTTGGTTTTGTTATTTGTTAACGGGAATTACAATCTGTTGCAGAATCCATCTGATTGCTTTGTGAAAGCTGCAAAAAGTGGGGCATCCGATAAACTTGAAGGGACTATTGATGCGTTATCGTGGGGAAAAGTTCCAGCTCTTGGGACTGGAGGAAGATTTGAAATTTTATTTTCCGGGGAGGTAAGCATTATGTTAATTGTTGAAACGATCAACGATCGTTCAAATGGTGTTTTAAAACATGTATTTTGGGTACGCATTTTGGACGTGAAACGTCCAAAGTATGTATGTTAAAACACTGATATTTTTAGTTATATAAGCCTTTCTCATGTCGCTATTTGAAAATGTTATATAAGACGTTTCATGTCCGTAGTTTTTTGTTGAGTAGTTCATGTGGTTTGCTTGCACCACACCAATTGCCACCGCAGTCTCGAAATTATACTAGCACTCCTTTCGTTTCGATTTGTTTACACCATTTGTCTTGGTCCCTAACGGGGTTAATTCCATTTGTTAAGATGAGGGGTATTTTGGTCATTTTACTAAATTTTTCTTATAATATTTTAGTGTACAAGTTTGTGAAGGTAAGATGACCAAAAATCAAAACGCCCCTCACCACTAAGGATGGACTTAACCCCCATTCCATCTGTTAAAGATGAGGGGCATTTCGGTCATTTTGTACCCATTTTTGGTTATATATTTTAGTAGACAGGTTTGTAAAGGTAAAATGACCAAAATGTCCCTCACCTTAACGGATGGACTTGATGCCCGTTAAGGGTAGGAACAAGTGGTGTAAGGAAATTGAAATGATGGGGGCGCTGGTGTAATTTTGAAACTGTAGCACAACCGATGGAGTTTGAGCAAAACGCAAGACGATTGGTGTAATTCACTCTTATCCGGTTTTTTTTCACATCATGTTATACAAGTTTTTTCATCTGTGACGATGAGGGGCATTTCGGTCATTTTACCACTTCTTTTTCTTATAATATTTTAGCATACAACTTTGTAAAGGTAAAAAAGACTAAAATGCCCCTCACCTTAACGGATGGACCTAACGCCCGGGACAAGTGATATATATACATACACGCATATATCGTATCCTCGGCTTTCTAAATCTTTCGTGTCTAAAACGTTACCACATTTATCTCGGCAATTGTACATGCTCATGTTTGATAATATCCCAGAAACACCAAATTGATAAACCAGAAGACGTGTACAGTCTCTTGAGCAAGAATATCGATTCTCAAGAAGAGAAAGTCGAGGTGCCGATTGAGGTTGACGATAAGCACACGAAGAACAATACTCCGGCTCCGTTGTTGTATCCATATAATAATTTCGCCATAGACGGCAGTGCCGATATAATGAAAACAGTGTTGAAAAAACATATATCTGCCGAAGATATCAAGCGATTGTCAAAAGACTTGAAGCATATACTTTACAAGTAAGTTTTCCCTCATCTTTTCATTTTATGTCATTTAAATTAGTTTATCGTACTCGGGTCATCTTGTATATGCATATGTGCATACTGTACAGATGAATGGTTATTTGGGTGTTCCTCGGTTTTTCATTTTTTCATTTTTTTTTATTAACCTGTATATCCAACCCGCTATGCGAGCCGACTAATCCCAGGGCGACCACCTGCTTTGCAGATATCTTGGTTTTTCATTTTTTTGGGGTTTTCCCCTGAAGCTCATTCCATTGTAGTATATGAATATAGATAACATGATACAACCGTTGTATTATTTCCGTTATGATGTAGGTATGATGTTAATCACAAGTTAAGCCAAGATGACAAGCTTGTTGCATGGAAAGCGTTACTTTTTCACCCTCGAAGGGACGAGAAGATTGGAATCGGACTTTATGAAATAAAGGTACAACAACGATAAATGCTCATTTTTTTCGTTCTTATTTCTCGTGTTTTCTGGGTTTGACATTCCCGTTTGTGTTACAGGTCGGGTACCACTCGACACATGGAAGTTCACGATGCTTTGTTTTGGAACGAGTAGATGGAACAACGGAAGATTTTTCGTATCACAAATGCATACACCACGCGTTGAAACTGATCTCGCCTAACGAAGCCAAATTATACGAGTCAAGATGGTTCGGAAGAGAATAACGCTCGGCTTGGAGCAGATCGATCCGTTTTGTGGGAGGAGAAATGATGTGATTTTAATGTGTTTCTTTTTTGTGATTATGATTATGGGAAGATGGTGTTCTTCAGCTTCTTTTTGCTGCTTCCACTGAAATTTGTTTGCCGGAAAAAAGATTCCGGCGAGGAAGTCTTAGTGGAAGTAGCAACGAGAAGCTTGGAACGATCAATAATCCTGTCTAGTTATTATGGTCCTTTTCGGTTTCGATTTGTAACATTTAGATTCTTCGATGACTATGACCCACCGGTAAATTCTTGCAGATCTGCTGCCGGAAAACTAGAACTACCACCTTACACTAGAGTTGATCATTTGCAGGCATGGTCTGAGCCCATGTCGGGCTTAACCTATTTTTCGGCCCGATAAGCAAACCTAAGCTTTTTTACGGGATTAAAAACTTGTTGCTTCCCACCCTATTAATGGGTTGGATTAACGAGCTTAAAAATCTTTTTATGTTTTTAAGAAAACAAAATTTATATAAAATCACAAGTTATATAAAATAATTCAAAATATATAACAATTTCTCAACTTTAAAATTAGATTTAATACATAACAATGTACATAATTCAGGAAAAGTTGTTCTGGAACACAGAAATGATCAAATGAGATGATATGAATTGATCAATTGAGGTAATTATGTTTTTAGTTTTTTAAATTTCCAAAGGTGTTGTTATCACAAGTTATAATTACGTGTGAACTGATAAGTATCAAGATTTTTTAATTTTATTTGTAAAAGTTAATTATAATAGAGAGATTAACGGGCTCGGTGGGCCTTCCCAATTTTTTTGAATCGTTAATGCCTATTACTAATTTTTAACAAATCAGTCCGAACCTGTCCATTTCTTTAAAAAATGGTAGTCCAAGTCCAAGCCTATTGTTTTGACGGGCCAGTCAAGACAGGTCTAGTGGGTAGTCTCGGCCATGAGCAGCTCTACCTTACACCTATGGCCACCGTAGAACTGTGAGAAACCCACGGCAAACAAACCAAAACCATCATTACTACAACGGTGGTTGATATTTGTTGCTTTCATGATGACAGTGGGATTAGGGATGCAAAAGACTCGGGCTTTTTCTAACCTTTCAAGTTTGGTTTCCGACTTGAATACCAACATTTTCGGTTGGGCCAGACAGGGGTTTGTAGTTGAAAGAGGAGCGACTTACTACGTGCCGGCTTTTTAAATTTGGATTTAAGTTTTTTTGTGCATCGAGTCGGGATTTTAAAAACATTAATGGATCCTTATTTTTTAGCATAAAAAGACGTGTTCGTAGAATTAGAAAAAGAAGAGACAATATAATAAGCAGATGAATGTGAACTTTATTGGTGCATGATTGAGAGAGACGACAACATCTTACTGTACTGGCCATGCATTATTTGATTCAAGCTTTCCACGATCAGATCTTACCAAAATGTAAACTATATATACATTCAGACATCTTGGATTCTGTCTTTAAAAAATCATTATATAATTGGATTTGATTTTGTAGCTATCAAGACATGGCATGGGCTAAATTCATTACATTAATAATCCCAAACAGAAACAAACATTCTCAAAAGTCCCAATAAATTTGTGGAGATGATGTTATTGTATGAATTGTGATGGCGAGTTATAAATTCTTGAGTAAATTACATAAATCGTCAGTGATTTACTAATTACTAAAACTCTGGTGTAATATCGTAGCTCAAACTAACAATTCCTATCTATACGATATTATAAAATATTTGACAAAAGTTATTAAAAATCATTATTTATGTATGAAATACTGTTTGTTAATGTATATTACTTAAAATTTAAGATAACAAGTAAATTGTGTGTAAGTACAACTTATTAAAGCTCTATTTTTTATTTGTATAACTAACTGCAGATAAAGATAATCAAATACGAGATACACATTTTATTTTAAATATAAAAAATTTAAACTATAATTAAAATAATCATTAAGTTCTAATAGAATCATTATTTTTGTAAAGATTAATATTGTTAAGCCAGAAATAAATTACTTCGTTATTAGATTTAAATTAAATTATAATAAAAAATTGAATCAAAGAAATTGTATAAAAAAAGGAGAACTTTTAAATAGTTAGTTTGATATTAATATCGATATATTTTTTCAAACTTTTATGATATCTTCAACTTTATTTTTATTTAAAAGTAAAAACATTATCTTTCTCAAAACCAAATAAACTGTATTATATCGATAGAGACAAAAACTAAAACGAAACATTAAAATGAAGATGTATCTCGTTGCATTGCGCGGGTACCCTTCTAGTAATTTCAAGAAACCACATATAACAACTTGCGGAAACTCAGAATTATATTTATAAACTTCTTATAAAGACTTAAAATTATGAGCTATCAATGAGGGGCAGATACACATGAGAGGTCAAAGGTCCCCAACAAAATGCTTCACAATTGATTAAAAACATATTTTTTATTCAGTGTTTGCTACTGGGACCCCAACACCAAAATAAAAGGCCCCCAACTATGATAAATGTCATACTTTTAATTGCTTCAATTTTACTCTTTAGTACTCAATAAACAACAGCTCAACTCAACACCTACCTACTTCTCCTTAGAACTCAACTAAAATCTAATGTTTTAAAGTTAACGAGCAATGTGTTTACTTGTTTTAAGTGTAAACTATGTAGAATATATATAAATACTAGTATAATATGTTGGTTTAACCAAAATAGTAAAAAAAAAAAAACTGAAAATCGAACCGAATAAATTATCTTTATTCTGTTAATATATAGAACCGTTTAAGCCAAAAACGAAAACCTGAAACCATTTTTAGTTTGGACGAATTGTCCGGTTTTCGAGATTTTTCGACACTCCTAAGTAATGCCCCCAACCATAATAGTTTCTGGATCCGTCACTGCTACCAATAACTTGTATCTTAATTTCAAAAAAAAAAATTATTTAGATGGATGGTCTAGGGCTTTAAAGTAATGGTCTTTGACCTAGCAGTATCGTAGTCTCTAGTTTCCTAGGAAGTCAGACGTTCAAACCTCACTGAAAATAAAAAAAGTATGTAAATTTATTTGTTAAATTTGCCGTATATAAACTATACACTTAAAAAAAAAGTTATAGACTTTATGCTACACAAGTCAACTTCTAATTCATAGTTTTCTATTTTGCATTATAATTTTGGACCCAACGGTCGAAATCATGGCATATGTGCACATTCTTCTTTCTTGAAAGGGAATAAAATATAAAAGTCATTACTATAATGATTTAGGTATAGGTTTTATTAAGCAATATTTTTAATAAATAAGCCATCGCCATGTTGTGCGGTTCAAATCTATTATAAAAATGAAAATACGAATCATGTTTTTATTATTAAAAAATTAAAGAAATTAATATTTAAATAGGAGGGTTGTAGGCACATCTCATTTTCAAGATCTACATTAGAATGATTTATTGTCACATCTTTTAACTTTTAAATAATTAAAATACATGTTCATCAATATTATATGTATTAGTGGATTGAGAGTCATTTTTCTAATGATAAAGACAAAATAATTACTATAATATAATTACTAGAAGGGTGCTCGTACAATACAGCGAGACACATCTCGATTTTAATGTTCTATTTTATTATTTGTCTCTGTCAATATTATAATACGGTTTTATGTGTTTTTAAGAAAACAATAATGATTTTTATTTTTGAATAAAATATAAATTTAAAAATATCATAAAAATTTGAGAAAAAAAATATGTCAGTGTTAATATCAAATCAACTATTTAAAAGTTTTTATTTTTTATGTAGTTTCTTTAATTTTTTTTATTATAATTTAATTTAAGTTTAATAATGAAATAATTTATTTTTGGTTTAATAATATAACATTTTATAAAGATAATAATTAAGTATTTTGTTATAACTCAATGATTATCCTAATTATATTTTAGATTTTTTTTATATAAAATGAGATCTTTATATTGTATTTGATTATGTTTATTTGCAGTTCGTTACACGAATTCAGATATGGAACTTTAATAAGTTGTACTTACGCACAATCTATTTGCAATCTTCAGTTTTAAGTAATATGCATTAATAAACAGTACTTTACGCATAAAAAGTTGTTTTTAAAAGTTTTTTGTAAATGCTTTATTATATAGTATAGATAGAAAAAAAATGTATTCATAGTTATAAGTTATAATAAAAGAATACTGATAATTTAGTTTTAGTTTCAGTAATTTACAATTAAATTTTTTTGTGCTGCTGTTATTAAGTATTACAACTTCAATTAAGTTTGTGCATATGATTGTAATATCTGGAAGTTTTGGCAACGATATATGATAGTAACATAATTCAACGATACACTGTGCATAATCAAACCTAAAACCAATTAAATCTAGATTAAAGTTAACAAACGATACCTTTAAGATGAAACAATATAAAAATATATCTATCTAATCTTCGTGAACAAATTGACGTTATTAGAAAGTTGTAAACGCTTAGTTGTATCATTAGCAACTCAAGGGCTTGTTTGTTAGTAGCTTAATAAGTTTGATAGGACTACTAACTTGTTCGGTAGCATATACGTGACTGTTTGGTAATGGCATAATGATATAGAAAGTGGTTTATTCCATAAGTTTTTAGGGGATGAAATTTATACAGAAAACCAATTTTTTTTCTTCCAAACATGTATTTTTCAACTAAAAAACACACTGATTCCATCTATGAAACAATCATCCAAAACAAAGACATTCCCAACTTGTATAGATAGATTAACATATACAAACAACTTTATTCATACAAGACTTAATGGAAAACCAATCAAACGACCCCTTAAATTAGATGGACTTAGAGCATCTTAATGAGTTTAATAAGACTCACATCTTATTCGGTCAGTTATATATGATTATCTGGTAGTGACTTAATAATATAGAAAATGATTTATTTAATATTTTCTTAGGGGGGAGTTTTATACAAAAAAAATCTAACTTTTTTCCAAACGTCCCTCCCAATTAAAAAACACGATCCTTCTGTGTAATGAAAAAATTATCTTAAACAAAACCCTTCATAAATGATACAAAGAGATTAATCTATACATATAACTTTATTGATACAACAAACCAACTAAAACCACCTCTTATTTTCACAAAAAAATGGTTGAAATAGTTTCTTAGAGTTGAGTTCACGTGAAACCAGACTATTTTCGTGAGATCATTTTTTTACACTTGAAATTTCATAACAAAATACTGTGAAGGCAAAAAAAAGTTCGAACATTCACAGCAAAAACGCTGTAAAG